AGAACGTTTACCAGGACAATGCTCATGGGATGGATCGATAATTTAAGACCAAAGCCCTCCCTGCATCAGCATGTGCCCCAGAAGTCTGTAATGAATGCATTGGTGATTGGGTACCAATACTGCTGAGAAACTCAGAAGTGACTTGCTGACCAGGGTGGATGGCAGGGAATATTCATGTTCATTTTCCTTGAGCAAACAGAGATGTTAAAATCCTGAAATAGCAGGGGCCAGATGGCAGGGCTTAGCTGTCAAAGGCAAAGAAGTAAATACAACAGACTCCAAGCAGAGGAGCTCCACAGTGTCTGTGGAGATGGCTAACTAAACCATCGGAAGACAAAAATATAAGATAGAGGTGTTACGGTTTAGATCTAGAATGTACTTCCATGTATTCAGAAGCAGGGATTTTAGAAGGTGATTGGATCATAGTGGCACTACAGCTGACTTGCTTGATGTTAGAATGTGGAATCCGGGCTATTACCCAGAAAGTTGAATCTCCCTCAGAGGCTCCTCCCTTCTCTCTCAGCTTCCTGCCTTCAGGTCAGCCATTTATGGACTGAAACCTTTAAAACCAAGAGTCAATACAAACCTCTTTTCCTTTAAAGTTGTGATTGAGTGTTGGGTATCAGTGACAAGGAAAATGACTGAGACAGATTTGGTACTAGGAAAGTGGGTCCATTGCTGTGAATACGCCCAACCATCAGGAGCCTTTGGAACTGGTTCACAGGAAGTTTGGAAAGGTTTGGAGATGTCAGCTAGAGAAAACTTGGAATGTCATAAACTGTTCTTAAGGTGAGATTCTGGTCATAGCTCAGAAGAACAGAATATGGATAGAAATATAGATGATAAAGGGCAAGGCTACAAGGTTTCAGTTGGGAACAAGAATTTCCTTTGCAGCTGTCACCAGAGTCCTAGGAGGTTTCCAAAGTGGCACTGAGAAGCCTAAACACATCCCACCTGCAAGCCAAGCAGCAGGCTTGCTGCCTCCTAACACAGTCTTGAAGATGAATCAGAAAGAGGCATAAAAGGATTTGGCAGAATTTTTAAAGTGCACATGAAATACAGTGCATGCATCAGAGAAATGAGACACAGTAGTTTGAGGCTGGGTCACTTTTAAGAATTTTGAGGGTTAAAATATGCAAACTTGTGAATCTATGGGAAGAAGGGATTTAATTTATAGATGAAAAGTGACAGCACTTTCTGCAGGGCAAGGTATTCATAGATGACAACCATAACAGGTGGTAAAAATGTAGAGCCTTCATAAGGGCAAGTCTTATATTTTACAGGTGAAAAGAGATGGTCTATACACTGGTGAGAGGCACATTTGCAGGAAGAAGACACTTCCCAGGCTTGTTATGTCTTGGGAAAAATTTAAACAAGGTATATGTACCGATACTAGTTCTTTTCTTAAAAAAAAAAACAGATTTTCTTGTCTATTGTACCTATTTTACGTCTTCTACTTTACCTCATTTGGACTCAAGGCTATTTATGATTGGGTGGAAAATTTGTCTATATTTTACCCATGTTCTAAAAATCTGCAGGAGACTGAGATTAAGGATTAATTTGGCAGAGGAAACTTCAAGGCAGTCCAACATTTAGGTTGTGGCATGGATATTGATGTCCACTTTTAGTCACATTTAGAATGAAAATTAGGAACAAAAAACAGAGATGCAAATGATGCAAAGCTTGGCCACAAAGGAAGCACTTGCAAAGTTGGTCCTTGAAGATCATGGTTGTTGAAAAGATAAACATTGAAAAAAAGCCAAGTGCTTGCATCAGGACAACTGGAAAGAGCTTCATGACATCTTTGGAATTGGCAAGACTCACTTTTTTGGAAGCACAACAATGTAAAGGGTTAAGTGTATAGTCTTGAAGACTGCTTTTAGAGTCCCAGGTTGCCCTGCTCAAGAGTGGCCACCTAGGAAAACAGGTTTCCAGGAATTCATTTCACAGTTCTTAGATGTCAAAGTACTTAGAGATCTCTGCAGCAGTTATGAAAGGGGACCCAGATACTGCTTCAGCGGGTGGCAGGTTTGGTATCATCCACTGTGGGCCTCTATAATTCACATGGTTCTAGTTTTGTGGGCATGCAAGAGCAGGAGTTGTAGGGTCAGGCAGGGTTCCACCCAGATGTCAGATTTTAGGGCAGGCAGTGTGCCCCTGAGATGGCAATACATGAAGCTGTGAGACTACCAGAAGTGTCACGGAGATCCCAGGAATCTTGCAATGCTAGATATATGAAACATCTGCTAAGGAAAATTGCAGGTGGTGAGCACAGTGACTAAGAAAGAGGGCATGAGGGCTGCAACCGATGTTCTAGTGTTAGGGCTGCCCAAGCTCTTGTGAGTTCACTTCTCACCACAATCAGCTGTGTACTGGATGCAGATATATAGGGTTTAATGTTTGCCCCATTGGGTTTTCATCTTCTTTGGTTTAATTCCCTTCCATCCTCCCTTTTGGAATGGGAATATTTGAAATATTTAATTTTCTTTTTACAGGGACTCACAGTTGAGTCTTCCTTGAGCTTCAGAGACTCTGGTCTTGGACTTCTCAGCAATGGTAGACCTATTAACTCTGTGGTGATTGACAAGACTAATTTTGTATAATGAGATAAGCATAGGTATTTTGGGGATATTACTGTTTACATCTAGAATGTCTCTCAAAAGCCTCACTGTTTAGAGAAGTGGTGACTGGATCATGGTGGTGCTATACCTGATTTGTCTGGAAGTAGGGCATAGATGGAGGTGGGTAACTGGGAGCATAACCTGGAAACACAGATCTCCCTCCCCAGCATTTCCTTTCCCTCTGCCTCCTGGTTGCTACAAGATGAAGTTATCCTCTGTCCAGACCCTTCTGGCTGTGGAGAAGCCAATTATGGACTGAGACTTCTAAAACTCATGAGCCAAAATAAGCCTCTCCTTCTTTAAATTGTAAGTGTTGGGTATTGTGTCTTAGTGACACAAGTTACCAAGACAGATGAATACCTATTAGGGTGTGCTTGACTGTTTTAATCACAAAATATCAAGATTGGGTGAGAAAGCACGAGGAATGAAGTGACCATTTCCCACCCATCCTTTCCAAACCTCAGCCTGTTCTCAGAATCACAGCCTAGAGGGCTGGGGATTTAGCTCACTGGCACAAGCACCTGCCTAACAATTGCAAAGTCATGAGTTTGATCCTGGTTAAAAAAAAATCATAGCCTATGGAGTGGTGGTTGTTCCAATAAAACTTTATTCACAAAAAGTGGGGTAGATTTGGCCCATACCACAGTATCCTGCTGCGACTTTGGGCAGGTCAATTTTTATAAAAATGGCATGTGTACTTGCATGTGTAACCTCAATTTGTGTTTTTTTTACACTTTGTATCTGATAAATTAGAAAAGCACATTATACTGTTCATATCCTTTATACCTTTTTTGGGTTGCCGGTTTGCTTTTTCAATGTTTAAAAACCTCCAGGTATAGTAAAGAATTTGCCCAATTTGAGGTTACGTTATTAAGTACATATAAGATTATCTTTATTTCTCATATCTTGAAGTAACATTAGATTTAGCAGTTAATCTTTGCCTTGAGCTATATCCCTTTGAGATAAAATACATTAACTCTTGATGTTCTGTTTGGTAGCATCTATTTTTTATTTATCCTCAATTTTTCTATGCCTTTAATTTTAGCTGGCTTTATCAATTGCACAGGGTACAAATCCTAAGTCTCAGCTTCTAGGAGCATATTTACTGAAAAGGTGCAGTCAATCCACCAGAAGCCTATTTCCCTACAGAAAAACATACTCCTCTTTCCCAAGAGTATATGCCTAGCATAAGATAGGCCATCAACCAAAGGCACCAGTCTCCCTCCAGCTGCTTGAGTCAGTCACCTATGCACTACAGCCTTCCTCACCAACAGTGGCCATCTGAAAAGATACTTATTAGCAAGGCAAGCACATGCTAGTTTTCTGTTCACGCTCTCCTCTAGAGCATCCTAGGATTTCAAGCAGCTTTAATTTCAGAGAAATAGAGAAACAAGACACTCTGAAGTCTGGTCTCATACTAGGTATCTCAGGATATACTTGGTCTCACCAGTGACACCCAGTGTCAGAAGCCCAAGGTCAGTATGACTTAAGTTTTTTCTCTCTTAGCCTTAGCTGCTTCACAGTACATGCAGTGTCCAAGAGTTCATGCTGAACTCTTGGGTTAGGGTGACCTTATTTAAGGCCCCACCTCTTAGTCCTAACTTTTGGATGAGCTGGCCTTCTAGAGCCTCAGTTTGGAGGCAGTAATGTCCCTGGGGCTATGGCGATGGCTAAAGGACACAGTGTATGTGCAGTGTACCAATACAATGGTCACAGCAGTCAGCACCAAGGGACCATGAATTGATGGTGTGCATGGGTATGCTGTAGACAAGTGGATCACAAACTCCTCAGAGATGTGAGGACAAAGGCCAGGCCATAGCACAAGAACACCAACACCGGCCAGGGAGGATCACGCTATTACCTCTGAATCCCCACTCTGTGCTCTGCTCCAGGCTCCTGTATGTGCCCTGCAAACCAGGTTGACAACAACAAACATGCAATGGTTGGGTCCATGTGCTCTTTGCCCAAAGATTCTGTTGTGGTACATGGGATATAGCTTCTCAGGGTACGTTTGGGCCCACATAAGCTGTTCTGAAAAATTTTTGGTTCTAAAGAGGCACAGAAAGTCAAGGGGCTGGGGATTTAGCTCAGCGGCATAAGCGCCTGCCTTGCAAGCAGGCAGTTGTGAGTTTGATCCCTGGTACTGATAAAAAGGAAAAAGACAAAAAAAAAAAAAAAAGAAAGTCTGATGGACTACCTTGTGGTTGATTTTAAAGCACTGTTAGGTATCATACCTACTCCCATTACTGGACTGGGCCTGGTGGAAACCATCAGATGGAGCAAGGTGTTTGCTTCTTTCTCCGCACATCCAGCACCTCATTCCCCGCACATAAAGCACATTTCATTCTCAGCAACACACACTTTTGCAGATAAAAAAGGTGACCCACACTTTCATTTTCTTTATTTTTCATTGATAACGTATGAATACAAAGTTTCTAGAAAGCTACAAAATGTCTACCACTTTTATCAAGAAGGCATCAAAATGTGTCACTTTGCAAAGACATGAAAACACCTGCAGGAACTGACACAAAAATAGCATTTTTAGAGTGATGAAATAATTGCACTTAACTGTCATGGATATTAAAGTTATCACACATATGTACCGCGAAAGCTAGAATACATATTTTTTTTTACAAAGCACTTTATAAAAAAATTCTCTGCACACAAACCCTATAGTTTTCATATAACTATCATACTAAAGATAAATTCACTTTAAAGCCAACACTTAGAACATTTTTAAACAAAAAGGTACCAGTACCTAAACACAAATGTTAACAAATACAAGAATACTGTACTGCCAAGAGGTTTAACCAAATGCCTTTTGAAGATTTCTGCAAATAGCTTAAGGAAACGTGTGTGAATTTGCCCACCCCTCCCCATCTCTCCAATCAACCCCAGAGGAACCCATGTCCCAAAGGCAGGTTCCACGGCCCAGTCCCAGCAGCAGTACAATATCAAAGGAACCACTGACCAGATGACACGCTTACATCACAAGCCCATTCTATACACGAGACACACAGACTGTGAGAATCCATTAAGTCGCTTAGAACATGAACAAACACACGTGGCAAAAACCAATTTACATAAAATTGGAGCGTATTAAAGAAGTAAAGGCTATTCAGGTTTTTTAAATGTTACAAAAAATTTTTATAATTTTTGAGGCACGTACTGTTTTTTGTTTTTACTTATCTTTTTTTTCCTTGTTTGCAATTATAAGCGTACTTTTTTAAAAAAGGTATACAGAAGTAAATCTTATAAGGAAGGAACAGGGAGACAGATGCACATTTTTTTAAAAAAAGAACAGTTAACATGAATTTACACAGTGAAAACTAATCACAAAAAATGATTAATGCAAAAAAACGAAAAAATCAGGGACTGATTTCCAATTGATTGATGCCTAGATTCTGTCCCCTCTCTTAGAGAAGGGGACAGCAGAGCCATCTCATCGTGGAAGGCAGATGAGGGTCAACCAGAACACAGTGCAGTCTAACAAATTCTGATCCCACCTGGTGACAAACAGGAGGGAGCGTAAATGCCGTTTCCAATACTAAAATGACTTAGTGTGACACGAGAGACTCAATGCAGATTCACAGAGTAAAACAAGTTACAGCTTAGGAAGTAGGACAATAAATACAAATATTTCATCTTATTAAGGGTGCGTGAATTCAGTGAAACTACCTTTGCAATGCATACATTTGAAACACAAAACCTTCATTGTTAAAGATATAAGCAAAGAGTCTATGAAAGGAAACTATTACCAAACAAAAACACAGTAACAGCTCAAAAGAGGAGCAGGAAAACACACATTTGACTAATTTCTTCCAAGTTGTGGTATAGTCCTGATGGGGTGAAATTCAGAATTCATGCAGCTAACTCAACTCATATACAGTAATTTTTCTTTTCATTTCATGGTGTTTATGACCTTCCACAAGGACTCACAACTTGGGGTAGCATTGCACAGCCTAAAGAGGCTACAGACACCAAAAAAACAGACAGAACAATGTATTACGAGAGGCTAACTTTCAAAGTTGTCTGATGTTATTTTGACATCAATACTAGCAGGAAAAAAAAATTTTTTTTTCCTGGCTTCTTTTTTTGGCTGGTGTTTTTTGTTTAGTTCTTTCATTAGTTTTTTTTGCCTCATCCCTTTCATTCCTCTTCCTCACCTCTATCAGTTTTTCCCAGTTTAGACAAGGTTTGGATAAAAGCCGGCACGGACTGAACAGCTGCCCCTTTCGGGGGCTGGAACGTTCTTTGAAAAGGTCGAATTGTAGATGGTGTTCTTTGGAAGTTTCTCATCACATGTTCACATAACACTCAGAGTCAACATTTTTTGCCCTCAGAAGAACACTTCAATTGTGACGACCCTAACACATTTTTTTGTTCTGCACTGTCATCTCAGTTTGAGGGTTCCAACTTCTGAAATGGTAATATCATGTAAACCAGGTAAGTGCGTGCTGTCGTGTGAGCGGGAAAGGAGTTTCCCCAGAGACTCCACAGACACAAGGAGAAGGCGAAAGCTCTCACATCTGTCCACTGGCCGAGGCTCTGTTGTCTGTGCGGAAATCCCTTCACATGGACGCAGGGCTGGTGACAAGCAGAAGCGACGCGCTTGGTGGTCGGCACACACAGCACAACAGATGGGGGTCCCGCCTGCTGTGGTGTGCTCAGGGTAAGCGCAGGTGGGGTCCCCACAGAGCAGGAGGCAGCCCGGGTACGCTCTTGTGAACAGAGGCCTGTGGCTAGTTACTCATCCCAGTAAACCAAAGGCATTATGGTGATCTCAAAATATTTTTGGTCTCTCTACAAATTATCGTTAGTTAGTATGGCAGCACTTTTCTAAGCTGGAATCTCAAACCAAAGGCACTTTCATGCTAGAGTGCAGAAGATTCACAAATAGCTAAGTATTTGGTCATGAATTCAAAAGGCAACAATAAAAGTACAACTTACTTTTCATAGTAAACTACAGAGTTGCAACCTTTTGTTTTGGTATAGACATTGGAGAATGTGGTCAAAGAACTGACTTGAATTCAGTTTCAGAATTTAGACCAAGTCACCAGCTTCCAATAGAACCAGAGAAAAATGGGCTTAAGGAACAAAATAATGAAAACTAGTTTTTCTTGTCCTGTTTCAAAGACTGGGCCAGTTCGTGAGCAGACACGAGACGGGTGTGAGAAGGCTGGCGGCACGACCAACGTATGACTAAGGCACTGCTTACTGAACGCTTTGGCAGCTCTGAATTGAAAACATCCTCAAAAAGGAACAGTAGTAAGAGAAATGCTTCCAGCTTACAAAAGGGCTCACGGTTCTGAGGCAGCCTCTTGCACTGCAGAACCTACAAGCAATGTCTCCGAGTTTTAAGGCTTTTCAGAAATGATGCGTGCAGGGCTTTGCCACAGAAACATCAACAAAGAAATAAGCAATGCAGACACCCCTAATGTCACTGGCGTGAACACCGACAGACAGAATGAGCTCTACCCTTCGTCAGGACACGTGTAGTGTACCAGAGCATATACAAAAGAATACAAATTATATGTACCTGGTTTGTAAAACTGACATCAGCTCATAACATTTAAATAATTTACGGTTGTACAAAAACAACGGCGAAAGCCACCACAGTATTGAAACCTTAAGAAGCCTTGGGTTTAAAAGTCATGGGAAGACTTTTAACACCAAGTGCTCAGATCAGGGGTTTTGGCTGGTTGGAGGGCAGGACTTCGCTGCTGGGATGCTCAGCAGAGAGAAATTTGACTCAGGGCCTGTGGCAGGTGTAATGTCCTCCTCAGAGGAAGCAAAAAGGCTCATCAGCTTTTCCTACCTGCCTGTGGATGCCTCGAAGGCCAGGGCTGGTTAGGGGCAAGCCATGGGGCAGCAGGTGACACTGGGCTGCTGCACTGCTCCCTGTCCAACCAACCCAGTCCATGCCTTCTTGGGATCAGGTAAGCATAGAGCACCAAAGAAGAATGGCCTCTGCAGGAAGAGGCGAAGGAGTAAGGAGGCAGAGCCCAAAGAGTCCTCACCCTCCTGTCACCAGCCTGCAGGTGACTTGGGCAAGTCATCCCGCGTCCTCTCTGGGTACCAACCTTCTCACCCACAGGATGAAGGAGACCGACCTGTGCTCTCAGTTTAGGAAAGAAAATTGCAACAAACCCTTTTCTGGAACAGATGGCTCCCTCTCTCCATCCCTAAAGATGAAAAGGAAGTGCTTTGAAGGTTCCATCAAGTTCTACAAACAATTCTGATGGGAAGGCAGAATGTAGAATCACCTCAGAAGAAACAAACTGAAGTGCTAGGAAGGTTTGATAATGACATCCATGAGCTTATGACAATGAAAATTACTGGATGTTTTGTTTTGTTTTTTAACTCCTAGTAAACTGAGGGCTGAAAGTCAAATCGGAAATGCTCTTTAAACAGGTGTTGATAACAGGGATGATAGTGACTGGCTGGTTTTTAACTTCTCCAGAGATGAGCACAAGAATTTTTGTAGCTAGAGAGACTGTTAAGAGAAGCCCAGAAACAGGAAGAAACATGAACATAATGTCACTTGATTAATATTCCCACCTGCTTCTTGAGGACTTGAAATAAGGATCCCAGCAAAGAGCTTTCACAAGGTGAAATGGAAGGGAAAACCATCGACAATGTGCTTATGCGACCCTAAGATTCATAGCAGTCACTTCAGATTAGGAGTGATGTTGACATCCTTGGGACTTGTGGTAACATCTGAAAACCCTGTGACCTGTGACAACTGGGGGAAGAGGTTGCTTCTGGGTATAGGCTAGTAATATTAGCAACCCCCTAACAATGCTCAGAACAGCCCCACACAAGGGATTATCTGGTACAATATCAAATAGTGTTGAGGTGGAAAAACCCTGGTCTCAGGACGTCTGAACACTCTTGAGATTCTGGACATGTTCTGAAGTCCTGGTTGTTCTTTAGATCTCTTATTGTGATGGAAATAAATTCCACCAAAGAGAGCTCTGTTCAACAGTTCCTCCCTGTGGAAAAATGGCCTCCAAACTCTGCACTGAGAATGCAACTTATTCCTGCCAATGTGGAAGTGAGGGGCCTTAGGATAGAGTGCACCCAAAAAGGAGTAGTGGTTGGGTCTTGCAGAGGCATCCTTGTCATTTAGGAAGCTTTCAAGACAAAGGGAGAAGGAACAACCACATAGGACACAGGACTGAAGACATGTGGATTAGCAGTGAGGAAACACATCCCACCCAAGGGCCTGATTTAGAAGAAAACAGGAAAAGCGAGCCCAAGAGTTTAGGGTAACTCACCAGTGGTTAACACAAGGAACATGTTTCCTGGGGAATCTTTATGAGACTTTAAAGTCTTACAGATGTTTTAAAAGCCAAAAGTAAATTTCAGTGTCATTCATACAAATCCCCAAAACTCGACTGCAAGGGCCCTGAAAGGAGGATGTGGGCAACTAGGCAGGGACCCAACGACAGGGTTATCTACTAGCTGGTCCTTCTGGGTTCCAGCCTTCTTTGTGCTTTATCAAGTAAACCCCAAGAGCCCTCCTAATGGCACAGAAGAGCCCCATTACCATGGAACATGAGCCAGGCATCTTGTTCCTGAAGTTATCCACAGGAGAACTTTTGCACCAGCTTCTAAGTCCTGGTCTTAGAAGAGTGAGGGTTCCCTTCATGAAATATGCAGGAAATAGAAGCCAAAGTAACATCCCTAAGAGGTGTGTGCATCAGAAGTTACCGTAAATGTCATGACACTAGAAGTTGTTTAAGTGCTTGGGCTGAAGACCACACTAAAGAGTGGGATGCTAGGTAATTCTTCTAGGTCTGGGTTGGAACAAGGAACAAAGGTAGTCTTGTTTTGGAGGCAAGAGGAGCACTGCCCTGCTGGTTTGCTAATAGACTTGCATTCCAAATGACAAAGTCTGTACAGCCTCTTTTGTTCCCAGTGACTAGGGAGGTGTATGGGAGAGGCCAGGCTTAGTCCAGGGTCATGCTGTTTGCTACAAGCCAGCTACATGGTCTCCTGTATGACTCTAAGGTCTGAACAGTGTAAAGCAAGGCCAGAGCAGGTGGCGGGCCAAGGATGGGGATGTGTAAGTTACTTGGAGGTGGCAGAATTAGGTTTTTATCTTCTAGCCTTGGTGAAAAAATCTTGAATTCTTTACAACTTACAAAATGTATTTCGTGCTCTACTGTGTTCACATATTCCTAGCAGTTATAAAAACACCATTTTCCTCTGGAAAGTGGAGGGGCAGTCCCCTCTTCTCTCCCACAATGAAGCACTTATGGAAACAACCCAAGACATGTGGTCACATGAAACCAACCTGCCTGGGCAACACTTTGGAATATCTGGATTGGAAATTTGAATCTCTCCTGGGAAGAGACTGAGCCTGTTTGAAAAGGTCAGAGAGAAGTAGCTAGGGCCTCTTAAACCTAAGTCAAACAAGTGTCAATGTCACCTGTTGAGAGACATGAAAGAAATGGATGTTCTAGGAGAGAACATAGCTAAGTCTATAGATGCAGACTGGGAAACAGTACTTGTCAGCACCGTACAAACTGAGTGACACCAAATCAATGTTCAGTAAGAGTGCTGAGTAACCATGTATACACGGAAGCGTGCACATATGCAGTACACACACAGGTACGTACACACAGCTATAGTCGCTGCAGGTTCCTATGCGCATTGGGTCACTAGAAAGAAAGGATTTATCCACAGGCTGGTGAGGATGCTCGACTTTTCTGGGGAGCAGAGATGCTAAACCTGATGAGCCTTTTCTTATTTGTTTGGTTGATGAAATTTTCTCCCAGCCACAGGATTCTCTATACTTTGCAGCTCACAGTGCAGTATTCATGCCAATTTAAAATTTTGCTATTAAATTTCAAGTATTTACTCATCTTGATAAAAATTTTGGTTGTCCATATAAAATATAACTGCACACAAGACTATAAACATTTTAAGTTTAGATTTCTCAGTATTTTTATCTACTTATTGCAAAAGAGCCATATTTTTTTCATTAAATAATCAATCATCACATTAGTACAATACAATTTTACATTTTTAAATATACTATCTATGTTAAGGATAAGGGGTGAAATTTTCTTCCTTTGTAATATCTGTTCAAGAGTTTAATGGATTAGGAGATTAGTTTTTACCTTGAGGAAAAAAAGTACAAATTTGTCTCATTAGGATATTTCTACCAAGCATTTCTTAAGGCTATAGTTTAACATTTGGTTTCAAAAAGAAAGAAAGATTTCATTTAAAAAATAATTTAGTGAATTACATTCTTTCATAACTTCCACCCTAATTAGTTACAAAGATAAGTCTAAAGATTCTTAGTTTTGTGTACTAATTTACATTTATATTTAAAGATTAATTTTACTTGTATCTTAAAACAAGAATTTTATGTTGGAAAAAGGAGAACTAAATACATTTGTATAAAGGCAGTAAATGTCCCATGGCCAATGCTCTGTCTTAATATTTTCTACCACAATAAGTAACAGGTCTCTGCAGAGTGACATGGGTTACTAAGGTTCACCTTTCCCGAGGAATTGTGGGCTGCAGATCTGAAGAACACACAGAAACAACTCGATTTCTCTTTTTACAACTGTACCAGAACTTCACAGCTACAATGATAATATGAACACATGAAAAAAACGACTTCACTCAAACAGGATTTAGAAAAGTCGGGGTGACCTCGGGGCCAGGGCACCACCTGTGTGGTGAGGTTTACAGTCAGTCATTCGATAATGGAGAGAGAGTGTGTGTGTATGTATGTGTGTGTGTGTATATACAGATATCTATATATATAAATAACCATGTTCAGTCCTTTACAAGCCTGTAAATATGATGCTGTGCTCCATGTTCACTATTTGAAACTTCATATACACAGGCCATGCAGAGGAGAGTTTCTTGTGTATCCCTGTTTGTTACCACCTGTTTAAAAAAAAAAAGAAAAGAAAAAGATACAGGTACATGACACCATTCAAATGAAGTCACAGTGCACCTGTGCCCACGGAATATGATTTAAGTGGCGAGGAGCAGTCCCACTTGGCGGACTGCTATCTGTTCAGCCTGTAACACACATGGCAAACTACAGGCCCCACTTGAACCATCTAAGCATGACACCATAAGGCAGAAAGAACTCAGAGACAAGGCTCACCCGCCTCATTTGAGGCCAATGAATTCAAACTAGGATGTCCTGTCTGTTCGTTTGTTTTAAAGCAGGTTTCCTTACAACAGCTGGGATTTTCTGCAATTCTGAATCAGAGGGTAATCAGGTATCCTATGTTACTGTTTCCTAACTTACTATTTGTATATTTAAATGACAAATAATAATAGTAGACAGAAATTTAAAGGGTACAACGTGATGTTATGATACATGTATATACTGAGGAATTGTTAAATCAAGCTCATTAACACACTCATCACCTCTTAATTTTTGTGGTGAGAACATCTGAAACTTCATTTCACCACAGCCATGGCAGACATGGGCTCTGTCGGTATGCTGCTCACCACCGTGGTAACCAGCGGTACCTGGACTCAAGCAAAGCGTCTGCCAGGTAAAGAACGGCACGGGCAGGTAGGATGAGGTCCCCCTCCTCCCCCATCTCTCCTTGTGCCCACAGCTTCACCCTCACTCAGACCTGAAGCTCCCTAGCCCACGTCAGTGAGTCCCCTGCCGCCTGCTGCCTGCCTCACTGTCTCAGACCTGTGCCCTCCTCACAAGGAGCCTTCTTACAAGTCAACAGAATCAAACGTCCTCACCCAAAACACTTCGTGCCTCTTTCTGCATTTGAAAGCATGCTGCTTCTGAAAGCCTAGTCTCGCTTGTCTAGATTTAATTTTCCCCTAATATACCAGGCTGCTTCACCCATGTGAAGCTGCCCTTGCCCTTAAGGCATCTAAGTTTACAGCTTCTAGCTAAAGTGCTGATTTTTCCCTATGCACTTGTGAGATTTTTTTTTGTTTTTAAATACCCATTTCATAGAGTGGACTATAAATTCTGGAAGAATTGAGACCATGTTTCCCAGGAACTAGTTTAGTGTGGCAGACACAGGCACTTGATAAACATTTGTTGAGTGAATGGAAATTCGCGTAAGAGCCAACATATACAGAGTGCTTACTATATGTCTATTGGCTATCAGATGCTTCTCACAAATCGTCTCTTAGGACATCATAACTCTGTGAGTGCATGCTGTTATTACTACTCTGGGACAGAGAAGGAGCTGCTGGGCGAATTAACTTGTAGTTAATTAGCCTAGAGTGCCCTCTCCCTCACGTGTTCCCTCCTCAAAACACCTTTCCCCACCACCCCAGGAGGAGACTGGATCATATTGTCCATAGAGTGGCCAGCTACGGTTTTAGATCCCATTCACCGAGGATGACATGATGAATGCTGGCTTCCTTCCTCAGACCTCCAGCGTGACGTGACTGCCCTACGTGTCTAGCTCCCCCACAGCACTCCTAAGGAGAGCTGGAAATCTGAAAAACACGTGCATATCCTTTCCGGCATCCTATGCTTCCATGGTGCCTGCTTCCCAAACACAGCACAGCTGGCACTGCCTGGTATCTCAATGGCATCCTTGTCTGCTTCCTCACCCTGGCAGGTCAATAGTTACTGGGTACTGAACTGTGTTTTACTCGAACTGCTTCCCAGAAGCTAAGCCAATCTCACTGGGGTTTAGCTGAACAAATTAAAACATTTTCTGTGGTCACCACTGAGGGGGAGAATGCAGACATGAACATCTTTTTTATAAATGGAAGTGAAAACTGAGTTCTGAAGACCTTAAATGACTTACCCAAGGCCATGAGGTTGAGTTGGATCTGAAGCCCAACTCTTCTGATTTCATGATCATAAAAGATCCTGCAAAGTATCTTTTCTGTCACTTCAAGTCTTAATCTGTAACTGTCATTGGCTGTGACCTTGGGTAGGCCTAACACTTTTCACCCATAAGAAGGGGAATAAAAATGATCTCATAGCTTTGTAGTGAGAACTTCAGAATAACATTTATGAAAGGTCTATAGGGCACAGTGTCTGAAACCTCTATCTTCTTACAAACTACCAAGAAAACAGTGCTTCTAGATTTGACTCTGTGATTGAGATTTCAGAGAAGAAATGAAAACAAAAACATGTTTTAATCAGCTGGTACACCTGACTCGTATCTCAAAAGACAGTGGTGTCAAGCACACCAGTGCATGCCAGTAGTCCTAGCATTCCAGGGGCTGAGACAGGAGGATCACCTTGAGTGAGGCCAGTCTGGGCTGCACAGTAAATTCAGAGCCAACCTCAACTGCAAACTGAAAACAGGACAAGGCAGTAGAAATACTTGGTCCACTATTCAACTGCTGTCTCTGTTCTGTTCAGTCATCACTAGGATGATTAGATGACTCTTATTTTCATAATCCAAGAGTGCTAGCTTAATTTCATATTTTCTAAGGCTATATATCATTTCTGGTGGATATTTACTGATACTTGTTCATCCATCAAAGAAATGCATTTAATTGCTCAATGACTCATTTTGAAGTTAATCTAACCCCACTGAGATTCCTGGGTAACTGCGCTGGCTGAAGTCATGTGTGTCCCATGACAGTTACCTGGGCTCTGTGGCAAACTGGAACTCTGTATCATTTCCTGGTCATATTCATCCTAGCTGAGATCTGGGAGACTGAGTGTCAGGGACTGGAGTTTATCATATTGCTAATGTGCAGAAAGAGACCCGGACTGGTTTTTATGCAACAGCTTAGGCTCCCTCTATGGGAGGTGGGTGCAGCAAGAGCTCCAGATAATGCCTGGGGCTGTTTAAAGGCCACAGCAGGATGTCCACTTCTCTCTGTCCACTGGTATGCTAAGTAAGGGAGCACTTCTGTGACTAGCCCCTGCCAGCACCTGTGCTGTGGACTGGTCTGATTTCACCAAAAGACCACAAGACACAAGGACACTTAATGAACAGTAATTAAAGAGCAGATATTCTAAAACTTCCCCCACACTGCTAGTTTCTAAACTTTAGAGGCACTCAGGCACATTCGGGAATCCACTGAAATTTTCTCCCTTGAATAAATGTCTACGCCAAAATTCTGTTTGCCAGGTACAGGCTGATAGTGCCTCTGCAAGCCCTGGGCCCCCAAAGCTCCTCTGCAAGTTGCCAGCTGCTGTGGCACAAGGTCCTGGCTACATTGTTACAACTATCTGAAAAGCTTTAGAAACAGACCAAAAAACAAGATGTGGGGCCTCAGCCTCAGATTTTTTTAAAAGTCTTCTGAAAGAATCTAATATGCAAAAGTTTTAAACTTTTCAATCTGATCTGCTAAACAGTGGTACAGGGGAGCTACTCTCATGGAAGTTCTTCTTACATGTTAAGGTATTTTGTGAGCTCAACAACCACAGTTTAAAATTGCCTAGAGTGGGGGTTACTTACCCCATGAAAACAGGCAAAAATGGAGATAGAAAACAGGTTTTTAGAATGGGATGGGCAGTTTAACAAGGTTTTCTTTTCTTTTCAAACAGCACTTTACTGATTGAGAACCACTGCCATAAAGGAATAAACAACAGATCAAGAATTCCTACTGTGAATCTCCTGGTTCTTAATCCTTGAAGCAGGCCTTTGGAGGGCTGAGTATCTGACCACAAGTTAGCCTTTTCAGCAAAATTGTTTACACAAAGTTTCTTAGGGGGCATTTTCCCTTCAGTTTAATTAAGAAATGTTACTTTATAAAAATGAGCCTTATCAAACTCATTACTTCATTTTTATATTTTGAGAACAACACTGTAGTTACTAGCTTTTCCAAGTTCCCAAATGCCATCCCCGAGAGAAATGTGTTTTAAAGTTAAATTTGAGAGAGAACACCACACACACATCCCCCACTGTTGGGGAGTTTTCCCTTTGTGGATCTTCAGTACTGCCATCTCTTCCTTTCCCTCCAGGTACCCATTAAGTTTTGCCTGTATTTTTCATCTACATAGGACAATTTCCTTCAGTTCCTGGTCACTGCATTCCATTCTAATTTATATTTCTTTTGGTGCTGTCACTTCTGTTTTCTATTTTAAGCCATGTTTCTTTTTTACAAGACCTTGGAAATCCTTCATGAAATGAGTCAAGGTATGTTTGAAGTACAACTCTATTGACTTAGCTTCTGTTTTACCTATGACATCTATCCACATACTTGCTGAGGTAAGTCTGGCTAACACTGGAATTATGCGGAGAAACTTAAAAGGAAATGCACATGCCTGAATCCTCCCCTCAGAGATTCTGATGTGACTCACCTAGGATGCAGTCTGATATTTATAAGGTCCCCAGGTCTTTTTAATGCGCAACCAGAGTTAATCCAGGACCACCACTTTTACCATCTACTGAAATCGCCATTTTTCTGCCAAGCTTAGACACCTCAGCCAGGTGAGATCCTGTCCCTCCCACTGAGTCCAGCCCAGATGGGGCCTAAGAGCTCACAGGTGCTGTGAATCAGCTGCTAGCTGACCACATGACAGGGGCCCCAGGTGAGAGTCATGTGCCCTTGGCCAAGGCCTCAGTGCACCCCAGGCTCACTTCTTTCCTTACAATCAACAAGCCTCAGGGCAGAGTCCTGCCAAGGTAGGAAAGAGACAAAATCATTACCAATAAAATTGTGAAGTTTTCCAAAACACTGTTCATCATATATTTCTCTGGTAAGTGTTTGAGCTTGTGGATGAAGTTGATCATATATTCACACATCGGGGAACGGTTTATTCGGTATACAAATCGGCCATTCTCGAACCTTGCATACTCCGTCTGTAAGGACAAAAGGATGTGAATGTGTTTATACTTGGGACTTCAAAACACCACCAACAGCCACTGCAGTCATACACTGCTACTCAACTGCTTCGAAACTTCTGAATTTTGAACTCCACACATATTGATGCAAAAACTTTTTCTGGGTTTGTTGGAACTCGGCTGGCAAGCTAGATGTGTCAGTGTCGACTGCCTTGTAACTTGCTACCTTTTCCAGCCCAATTTTTTCTTACCTAGTTAAAAAAAAAAATCCTAGATCCAAATTACTCCATATACATAATCTGTTACTTTTCTCGATGTTTAAAAAAATAGGTAATAAGATGGTAGTTAAAGAATGTTTTATTTTCTTATTAATATGTTTGCAGTGCATAATGTTTACATGCCTTGTAGGAAATTTGTACATAAAAAAACACTACAGCATTTTGCTTAGTAATTCTCTACATAAAGGAGATCAGAGAGAACAGGCCAAAGGAAGTTTCAGTTCTTCAAGAACCTGCAAAAATCCCTCTATCCTATCCCAACAACAGTGCAACTGACTTCTCAACCTCAGGGAAAGCTAGTTACCTCACACTGACTGTGAGACCCTGGATGGAAGGAAGGAAGGAAGGAAGGAAGGAAGGAAGGAAGGAAGGAAGGAAGGAAGGAAGGAAGGAAGGAAGACAGACCAATCTACAAGCAGTTTGAAGACCCCTGAGGAAATATTTAAATATAGGAAGTACTTCCAGATAACCACAGATGACATAAGAAATAAAAAGGACATTATAAGCTTCATAAAGAGCAGTGAAAAGGAAAAGACATTCAAACTTTTTAGACAAAATAAAACTTTATTTGATGAAAATTAGGGAAGTAGTCTCGTGTCTTAATCATTAATAATGAAAAACTGCAGAACTAAGTACACATTAAAAAAAAATTTTTTTTTAAAACCCCACAAAAGAAAACCAAACCACAAATCAAAGGAAACCAAGAATGGGAAATTAATAATGATAAAAGCACAATTCAATGAAAGATAAAGTGTGGACAGAAAGCATTTAAAAACTGGTTCTTCAAAAAGACCAAATAAACCCTTTACACACTTAACAAAGGAGAATAAAGAAAAGAAGCGAGACAGCAATTACAGCGAATAGAGATCAGAAGCGGGTACTTCACATGACTTGAAGGAAAATGAAGCAGAGCAAACTTAAGAGAACTGAGTCGCTCCCCAGAAAACACAAATTACTAAAGCTGAATCCTAAAACACTGAAAATGTCAGTAGACACTAACTGTGGATAGGCCCAGGATGAGGGATCTGTTTAGTGATACCACTGGGAAGAGATGGTAGTGACAAGGGACAGGATTCAACCACCTGCAGGTCAGCTCCGGGGATCCATTGTGCAACAGTGATTATCGCTAATACCAAGGTGTTTCATTCTCAAACACTGTCAAGCAACATTTTAAGTGTTGTCATCACAAAAGGGGGGTTCCATGTGGGAATTAACTCATTTAGCCATTCCACAATGTATGTAACACTTCAAAATACCATGTTATACGTGGTCAATACATACATAGAAGAAGCAGCACTTTAGCATAAAAGCCAACGGTAAATAGAACTCTAAATGGCAAAATGCCCATACTGTCATTAACATCATGGCTCTACAAGGAGATCTGCCATCACTGCTTCTTCCTCCACTACTGTGTGGCTGAAGGGCTAGCAAATGAGAAAATGAGAAAACAGTGATTTAAAAACCCGACACAAACGCTGGAAGAAATTAAAAGGCTTCTTCTCTCTCTTTTTTTCTGTCACTAAGATTACAGACAGAAAACCAAGAATGTAGTGAGGAAAAGAATGTGAGTTAAGCGAGAGATGCCACTAGAATGGCCACACTGAAGGCGGCTCTTCAAGCAGGTGGACTGTGAAAACCCAAGTGTCCTTCTCCATTCTAATAATCAGAATCTAGAAACACACAACTGCAACAAGTTACATAGTATATATTCAGAACTATATTTGACAAGAGACAAAATACCTAAATGAGACAGAAATGTGAATAGGAGTAGGACTGAAAGATTTAATAATGTGTCGATTTTCTCCCAAACAACATTTAAATCTAATGCAATTACAATTAGATTGCTCAAAGTTTTTGTTTCTCTTTACATTTTAAAAATGTTTCCATTGTGTGGAAATAGAAATAGATGCTGGTGACTAGTTCAGAAAATACGTAGGGTGCACTGGTGAGGTATAATGGTGACAATGGTGAGGTTGGCTGGTGTGTCTCACACTGTCTCAGAATCTCCTTGAAAGCCACCATGATGAAATTCCCCAGTAGTGGGACCTGTAGACACGAAGAGAGGTGGAAGAGAATAGAGCCCAGGAACAACTGCCAGGATACAGTTCAACTGGGAAAAGCTGAATCACATAAGAAATGGCTTCAACACAAATACCTATCCATTGGAAAGAAAATATAAAGAGCCTAATATTTCACACCAAAGTTAGGTACACATTCCAAATAAAGTAAATAAATTTAGAGTGAAATTCCACCTACTGCAGTCACACTACCTCTCCATGAAAACTGCTGGGATTTTATTGGCAAAATGCAACCTTTCCCTGCTCCCTGAACTTCCAAAGAGTTTCAGCTGCTTCATCTGCAAACACCAGAAAACCAGCCCTCAAATCCAGGAACACAGGTAACCTCACATGCACCTGGTCATACACTTCAGTGACGATCAAATCAACTCACTGGGCTCTTCTGCCCCACAATCCCAAATGCCACCCTGCATTTAGGTCTTAACAAGCACCCTCCCCATGGAGCATCCTTTCTCATTCCGCAGCACAAAGCCCGTGCCACTGTCAGATGAGATCCTGTCCTCAGAGGTCTGGACCAACTGCAAATAAAAACTACCCACTGAACAAGGACTGAGTGGGGGAGAGTAGAAGACACTGGAAAGCACAGCTATGCAAGAAATGCCAACTGAAAATCCCAGCCTTGTGGGAGAACGAGGCAGGAGGATCACAAGTTTGAGCCCAGCCTGGGCAACTTAAGACTGTTTCAAAATTTAAGGGGCGGGTTGGGAATACAGCTCAGTGCAAAGGTCTTGGATTCAATCCTAGTACATGAATCAATCAAATAAACTCTGGTAACACAAACATGGAATTCTCTAATAGGAGGGGGACAGAAAATGTAAATGCTCTAAGGACCTATTTGACCCAAATATAGAATTAAATCTATTTAAAACAATTAAAAGGAAGAGAGTAGAAATGGCAAAAGCAACAATATCAAACTCAAGAGGTCAGGGGTAAAGGCAGATGCCAGTCAGCTGCACACCACCCTGACAGTTCTTCACAAAGGGTAGCTGTGCCTGCACCAGGAGGTACAGGCCAAGGCCCACTCCCAGACTCCCAAAGAAGCCGCACGCCAAGGTGCTCAGGTGGCTGTACAGTGCTGACTTCAGACGGAGAGAGGGCTGATGTGGGACTTCCTCTCTGCTTCCAAGGGCTTCCAAGTCATTTTGCCTTTTAGATGTAACAGAGGTAAGACTGAGAAAAGGGGCGGGAAAGGAGAAGACACCAAAAAGTCCAACTCCCTGCCCCTGTGAACCTTGAAGGGCAGGCAGCAGCTGGCCTGGAATGAAGTTCTGGTCTGCGGAGGCCAACTTACCTCTACTTTTTCTACTACTTGCTTCCCAAAGGAGCACACTTTGGTGGAACAGGTGACTGTCATGTTTTCAGAACTCTCGTACTGACTGGTTACACCATAAAAAGCCCCAGCATCATCTTGAATATTGCAGTTTAAGTCGGCCTGTTGGAAAGGAAATGGGGGTGGGTTATTCTCTCATCCCAGTTGTTATGGCGACAAGCGGCCAGTGCTAGAGGGCAAGGCGCTCAGTGGCTGGGCAGCGAGAGAGTGGCTCAGAGATATCTGTCTAAAAACAAGTGTCCAGCAGTTACTTTCTGTAGAGGATGCTAACCTGCAGAGTCCTCCCTGGAAGTGATTTGCTACTTGTATCTATTCTGTTTACTTTCTTGCAACAAAACATCCATAGGTCTGAGATGTGTGCAGAAAGCAGGACATGAATTCACATTCAATTTTTTTGAGAGACCAAGAACAGGAGCTTCCATAGCCAACTAGCCTTGTGTTATATATGTAAAACTGAAACTTTACGGGAAGCGATACCATCCAGAGGGGGAAAATGTCTTGTAAAGACTGGCTTACAAACATGCTAAATTAGTGCCACTTGTTCCATACATTTTTCTCAAGTTCTTGCTGTGGGAAGCCTATGCTAGATCTCAGACAGGGCCAGGCCACAACCTAATGTGTGAGACAGGTACATACATAAAACAACTACTATGCGGGTAGACGGTAAATAACACATCAAACGCACCAGAAAGCAGACAGTGTAAAGGCACTGTTCCTAAAGAAGGCACCGTAAGGTATGGTTGTACACGATCTACAGGACATGGAGCCACTGCAGCACTTAGGTCACTGCTATAATCTGAATGTCCCCCAAATTTGTGCTGGAAATTCAATCCCCAAAGCAACAACAGTGTTGGGAGTGTCTGAGAGGTATTTAGGGTTCTGTTTTCATAAGCACACTAACCCCTGTATAAAAAGAGCTCCCAAAGTGAGCTATCTCTCTTACCACTCTGCCTTCCACAGTGTGAGGCTGCAGCGAGGAATAATTTCCACTATTTACACAGCACCCTGTCCATGGGATGGCAACTTAGCACCACAGCTGAGGGCTGTCATTAATTACTTGCAGATCCCCTCCCACACACCAGGCTCTTGGAGAGGCTGGGAGAAGAGTGAACAAAAGCTAAGCTGGTGCCTGCTCTCCTGGGGCTAATGATTTAGCAAGTAAGGCATGAAGATGAGAAGGAAGTCCCACTGACAGACATACAGAGGGACGGAGTCAGAACAGAGTAGGGAGGGGCTCTCCAAAGCTCTACAGCTTGGATCTAAAGAAGGAGGTCCTATGAGGCCGAGGAGCATTCCCTAAGGAGAGACAGAGCCAGGAAGCAGGACTGTGAAGGGGTGGGTGAGGTGGGGACAGCAAGGCTGAGAGGAGCTGAGAGGCAGGAGGCTGTCTTCCATCCTGAGACCAACAGACCGACTAGCTCTAAGCAGGCAGGGTAACAGCAGAGACTGCGAGATCCAAGCTAATGAGATTAGATCCAAAAAGGCATCTCGAACCACAATTTGGAGAAGAGAGAACCAGCACAGACACAGACATGGCATCCAGCATAGCCACTGAACTTCAAGAGGCCGCTATGAGGCGCATCATAATGGCTCTTACCATAGGAGGTAGGATCTGATACTCAAATGAGATTTTCCACTTTGTGAGATTTAACACATTCGGACTCGCTAATTTCAATACCTTGTCAGGTACTAGCCACCATGAAGATAGGAGCCCATCTATTATTTTTAAATAAAGACTTGCATTGAAATTTTTTTTGCATTGAATATTAGAAACATGGCCATCCCGTGTGGCAAAACTTCACATTTTTCGCCTTCAGAGAACTGTGTACTTTGTATTCCCCTTCTTACCTCATGTGCTAAGAAATTCCAAGTTCCACTTAGTGTGAACGACAGTATAGTAATTCCTTGTCCCGGGCACTTCTACCATCTGTTGTGCAGCTCTTGGTACTACTGGTTTCCATCTGCCTCTACTGGCACTTTGTCTGGTTTTACAGCATCCATAAATGCAGTATGCTTCCTCACATTTTGGAACAGCAAGGGGCATTAGTCATAAATAAATAAAAATGCCCACAGGTGCATTCTTCTGGCTTTCAAAGGTTTAACCTTTGGCTCCACAGAAGAGCACCAGAGTGGAAAATGAGGCTTTTCCCTCACTGCACTCCACACCTGAGCTTCCCAAGCTGCGCTGCAGCCCCCGGAGAGAACAGGGTCTCGCCATCCGGGCACTAGGGAGCCCAGAGTCCTGCACTGATCATCGGGCTGCACCCAAGGGAGCCTGGCCTTGCTCTGATCATGTCCTGGAATACACAGCACTGCAAAGCGGCAGGTGTTTGTGGTAATGGGATATTAGTGATGTTCTTTTTACGGGGAGGAACTCATATGCTCTCAGTACTGTAATGTTAGTTTATATCAAACAGGTCAGTATTTTTCAAAAAGTTTCAGTGTATGTGCAAAGCAAAGGGGAGAGAGATTTGTAAAATGTGTGTACAGTTTTACTTCTACCTGTGAATTTATTCACCTCCCCAGAAGTAACCAGGGGTATGTAACTCTCAAGGGTCCCTGTATACGCAGCAGATACTCAAGCATATATGGTTGTTGCACAAACAGCACAACTGTATTTTTTTTAAATCTTGCTTTATAATAATAATAATCCATCTTAAACCCTAAATAGTACTGATAGAGGATAGTCATTAAAAAATACAAATGGCTGCACTCTTTCAGGGTTACACGCTGCCCTGCTACACGGCTGCCCTGCAAGCTATGTTCTACCGATTGAGTACTCAGGGTGTTTCTCAACGACGTGGTACTAACAAATTTATGTTTAGAAGAAAAGATGGGTATCAACAATTGTTTTTGTTTTTCTTTCTTTCAATTTTAAGAAACTCGCAGCTTTGCAAATGAGTGATTATATGCTATGAAGATACTGTGCACTAATACTGCAAATTTAATATGCTAATTTAAGCTTTTTAAAATATCAAATTCTTTTCAAAGACTGGTCAACAGTCCAAGCAATTTGGTGTTTGTGGTGTAAAGAAGGATGTGTGGGAAGGAACAAATGGAATAAATAATGGAGGCAGGAAAGTAAATGGAGTGAAATCGTTATTAAAAAGTGTTACTCTCTGCAAGGATTGTTGGCTGGTGCTGTAATCCCAGCACTCTAGAAGGCTAAGGCAAGACTGTGGCTTAGGACGAGGGATGAAGGTTCAATGCCAAGGCCCAAGGCTCAATCCCTACTTCTTTAATACTTTTTTTTTGTCTTTTTCTATCAGTATCAGGGATCGAACTCACAACCACACTTGCAAGGCAGGCGCTTATGCCGCTGAGCTAAATCCCCAGCCTCTCAATCCCTAGTTCTACAAAAATAAAGTGTCAACCTCAAGTTACTTAAAATACACAAAATAATCTCTTTTTTTTTTTTTTTTTTTTTTTTTTTGGTACCAGGGATCAAACTTACCACCTCATGCTTGCCAAGCTGGTGCTTATGTCACTGAGCTAAATCCCTCAAAATAATCTCTTAATGTACACAATTTAAAACCATTAATCTTTAACCAAGTTTAGACTGGCGTTCAGCATGATCCTGAGTTGCTGACAATTGTCACAATCCTCACAGTTCCTTCCTTACTGCCTAAGAAGTCTGCCTAAGAGTCTGCCTAAGAAGCCAAAGTGGCTATCCTATAGCAGTAGTGAACCTAGCAGATTTGACAACCAGAGAGGATCTATTACTATAAATTAGCACTCCATTTCAGCTGTTTAACATCGTAAATATAGAGACTCTGAGAATGCGAGAACGTAAATGACCAAGGTCTTCTTCCAGATCACTATGTGATGCCGCGGCTTATTTACAAATCTGTTTTAAGGAGCGGGAGGGGTAGCACGGCAGGGGCTGCTGACTCTCAGCTTCACCTGAAGCCTCCTGGAAGGATTCCAACTGCCAAGAACCTACTCTGGAGATGAGTTCTACCTTGAATTCTTGTGTATCACTCAAGGATCAGTAACACAATGGACAGATACTACATATGCTAAGTGAAACTTGACTGTGTCAGTCTTACGGGCTTGGGAGCCATCAGAAAACTGGTGGGATGTACTTTTGGGTGTGTGTGGGTGGGTCAGAGAGATGCGGCTCCTGCTCACCTGCTCTGACTCCCAGCTGCTGAAAACTAAGCAGCTTCGTTCCACCACTCTTTTGCCATGATTTGTCTTGAAGCCAGCTGACCACAGACTGAGCCCTGTAAAACTGTGAACCAAATTAAATCTCACCTCCTTCAAGTTGTGGTTGTAGTTTTGTGTCTGGCAATGGGAAAGCTAATAAACATACATGGGTACTTTGTATACATAAAACATTCAGTAACTTCAATTATTTAGGACTTAGACCCACACAGGATTTGATGACTATTTCACCAGTGACATTATTTAGAACACCAGATACATAGTAATAATAAAAAGAATAGTTTTAAAGAATGGTTTTGCCATTCTTCATGAAGTCCCCACAGACAAGACAACCTCCTAATGGGCTGCATCTGAATCAGGTAAGTCCTACCACCTCATCCTTGCTTCACCACCATCTCTCAGAACTCCCCAACACCTTGACTGAAGTTTAATTTGGAATGGATGATCTGCAGTTACGATGACATGAATTATCAAGAAAGAAGTTATTAAAGAATATTCATTATAAAAACCTACTCCCAGGTCAACAACTTACGTAGCTTTGTAGTTGTTTCTTTAGTATGTTACATGAAACTGGAAGTAAAAGATGCATTCAAAGAAGTACACAAATCAGAAGTTTCTAGTGCAATTAATTTTCAAATGAACCAGCACCCAGATGAAGAAACACAAGTCCCTTAAGATACACTCCCTCTGGGTCACAAGCACCCCCTCTGCCTCAAGGGTGGCCATGGTCCTAAAACATCGCATCTTAATTTTCTGTGTTTTGAACTGTAAATAAATGGACTTGTGTATGCCTGGTTTTGTTTCCCCACCATTGACTCATTCACGTGAGTGCTTTGTGGGGTTCGTTCACTCTCATTACCGTGGACTACACTGAACAAAAATGTCACAGTCTACCCATCCCATTATGGTTGAGACTTTTGGGGTATCAGCAAATC